GGCAGGAAGAGATCTAGCAGAGCCTTGACAATTTCTCAAGGAATCTGGTTTCTCTTCAAAGTCTGGTGGGAAGTCAAGAAGTGTGAAGTTATCAAATGTGCATTTTTAAAGATTCTGAGGACAGTTGGTTAAATGATGGGAGGGACAGCTACATGTGGGGAAACTCAAGTCAGGTAAGAGAGTGCCAAGGCTTAGACTCAGATAGGACAGAGGAGCTAGCGAAAGAAGGCTCTGTGTGAGGGATTGATTATCAAGGGCTGGAGATGGGTGAAAATGGGGGATGCTCAAAGACTCAAACTCGGAATCACTGTATCGAGTCGATTTCAACTCACAGCACCCCTATAAGCCAGAGTAGAACTGCCCTTGTGGCTTTCTGGGGCTGTACATCTTTATGGGAATAGGAAGACTCATCTTTCTCCCAGGAGCAGCTGATGGATTTGAACAGCTAACTTTGTGGTTAGAAGCCCAATTCATAACCCCCTACAGGAGAGGGATTTTCACCCAAGACTCCGAGATCTCTAGTTACGCTGGATGGCCAGCATTTTAAAGTTTCTAGACCACTAATGTCAGCCCCAAAGAGGAAGGCCATCAACTAGATGGACAGAATCAATGGCAATGGCTCAAACATAGTAACAATTGTGAGCATGGCACAGGTCCAGGCTTCGTTTTGTTCTGTTGGGCAGAAGGTCACGATGAGTTGGAATCAACTTAATGGCAGTACAAACAACAACAGACTACGGGCTCGGAATCTAAAGTTTGCCCCGATGAACTTCTGGGACAAGTTTGATCCTGAGTATGAAACTATGATTCCCTGGAGAAAACTGGAAATCCGTTCATCTTTCTCCTTTGATCTACCCATTTGCAGGTGACATCACATGCTCTACACCCACATCTGTTGAGCACGCAGACATCCGAGTCAAGAGCTACAATTTGAGTTCCAGGGAGCGGTATACTTGCAACTCTGGCTTCAAGCGTAAAGCTGGGACATCCAGCCTGACTGAGTGTGTGCTAAACAAGACCACAAACACTGCCCACTGGACAACGCCCAATCTCAGATGCATTCGTAAGTTGCCAAGTCTGCACTCCAACCTTACCAAGGAAGTCCAGAGAGTGATGTTGCAGTGTGTAGACCTCAGTGAGTGGATCCCAAGGTCCAAACAGAGACCTGTACTGAGGTCTGAGAACAAATAAACCATTGAGATTTTCAACAACACCCTCTTAGGTTGAAAATTACATGAAATCCGGGGGTTGCACAATCTGGGTTCAATGTCATGTGCCAGCCACTGGAACCTGGGCAAGAACCTTAACATGTTAGAACTCCTTGTTGCTGATCTAGAAAATGGGCCTGATGTCAGTCCTACAGGTTGTAAGAGGATTAAGTGAAACCTGGTCAATAATAACTACTAGTGTCAGTGCTTTATTTCATGATTAAGGTAGCAAATTTGGCTACAAACAAGGGTGTGTGTTCATGAGTATGAATACTTCCCAGAGACTTTTCTGATTTCTCACTGGGACACAGACTGCATGGAAAACATTGATTTTCTTCTCCACTGGTACCCAACCCAGGAGACTGCATAGACTCATGCAGCAGAGAGTCCCTTAGCATGGTCACCTATGAAGAGTGTGTGTCCAGCCACCACAGCAGCAAGTATGGGGGAAGGGCAAGAGAATCCACTCTTTTTTTTTAAACCACTCACAATTGGATAATTATCTCAAACGAAGCCAAACCATCTTGGGTGAACACCACTTCGTAGTATTTCTAGGACTCCTATGGCCCACTTCTGATCTCCCCCTTCCTTACTCTTGAAAAAAATTAACCAGTGGTCTTACAAGAGACTTTTGATTTAACAAGCATCTAGTGAGAATTGCTTATATGTTCAGCAGCAAGCCAGATACATTCTCGTGTAATATTTCTGAATAGTCTCAAGTCTTCTCCAAGTGCGTGAGATACAAAGGGATAACCATACAGCAAACTCATCTGCTGGCCGACTCATTGAAGAGCCAGCGTTTCTAGCTGACTATGTCATGCTTAAATTACCCTGGTGTCCACTCCTCCTCCCAATAAGTGGCAGTCCGATAACCCAAAAAGGAAAGCTAAGGAGGAAGCCCTCCACTGGTTGCAGAGGGATCATGTGGTTGGTGAACAGAACTCCGTGTTCATCACGGTGTAACTGAAGTGTTCTGGGCTTGAACAGTCACACTGTAGAGAGATCAAGGACAGATGCTTTTGCTCTGTCCTGCCCTGGGACTGACTGGACTCTACAGCAAAGGTCAAACATAAGGACTTTTCTGCAGTAGAGAAAGCAAATACAATCATGCATTGCATGGCATCTGTTTAGGCACCCTCTCTCCTCCTACCGGCCACAGATTCCTTCCTCAGAAAGCCTAGTGTCTGAAACATGTGAGGCAGTATAATGATTCATAGTAGCAAGTGGGCAACACTGTGTGAGGAGCATCAAAACATTATCCTCATTATCATCATCGTTATTGTTACTCTCACTATGCAACCATTCGGTTAAAGATATTTTAGTGTATCTGAAGGCGTTTCTTTAATGCCTTTACGCATTAAAAGGTATATTACACACTAAGACAATGTTCAAAATAACTGTCATTAGATAAGCACTTAGTCATTCTGACTGATATGACAACTTTGACTTAAAGACAGATTTAGGAATAGAATTCATTCCTAATCCAAGGCTGCCTACATCTAATATGGAGTGTACACAACACCCAATCATATAATGCTCTATTTCACAGAACATATGACTTTGAACATTACACGACACCAGACCATATTTCCTCAAATCTCCATGTCCTTCAAGGAAAGGAAATCTGGGATCGAGAAGTAAAGGAAAAAAGAAGAGGGATAGACTTGGAATCATAAAAATTTTAGAACCTAAAGACTGGGAAAAATCGTTAGCTATCATTTGGTTCAAAGATTCCCAACCTTTTGACATCTAGCACTCCCTTAACTCATATTTTCCAACCTTCTGTGTTTTGAAGGAGTTCTGGTGGCTCAGTGGGTCACGTGTTGGGCTGCTAACCCCAAGGTCAGCATGTCGAATCTACCAGTCACTCCACAAAAGAGAGATGCGGCTTTCTACTCCTGTCCATGGTTACAGTCTCAGAAACCCACAGGGGCAGTTCTATTGTGTCCTAGAGAGTCGCTCTGAATTGCAATTGGCACGATGGAAGTGAGGTGTTCTTGTTCTGAGTTTGGGCTTTGATGATTTTCCCCCCTAACAAACAAACTGAAAGAACAATATTGTAGAACTGAGTTGATATCATTCCAAGCAAAAATCGAAGACATTTTATATTTAACGTTGCCATCTTGTTGAAGAACCCTGGTGGTGTAGTGGCTGAAGTGCTTGCCTGCTAATCAAAAGGTCGGTGGTTCAAACACATCACCTGCTCCTTGGGAGGAAGACGCGGCAGTCTGCGTTCATAAAGATTCCAGCCTTGGGAACTTGGTGGGGCAGTTCTGTCCAGTCCTGTGATCACTGAGAGCTGAACTCGACTCGATGCCATTGCGTTTGTTTTGCTTTAGTCTTTCTAAAATGCCAGAAAAAATATTTCGCAGTCTATCGTTGCATTTGTGTGGGAATTACAGGTTGGAGAATATTAATTCTTACTTATTTCCTATGCTTCTCACATATCCTAGGAAACCAGTTATTTATATTTTTAATGATTAATCTATTCACCCAGTTCTGAAGCCATGCCAGGGTCCGCCTCAGGATCATAAATGCCATGTGGTTATGCTCTCTCTAGGAGATCCTAGATCCCTGGCTCGACAAATTCCTGTGTCACCCTCCACCGTAGCACCAGCAAGGGTGACCCCACAGCCAGAGAGCCTCACCCCTTCTAGAAAAGGTAGGCATGTTGAAAACTTCCCAAGACACCCATCCCCTACTGCCATGAGTCTCAAATTCATGAACCACAACTGGCATTCTACTGCAAACAAAAATAGACTAGAACAAATATTTTATTAAAGTCAAGAAGAATCGTTTACATTGGGTTAATGCTCTTTTATAAATCAAGGTTGCATGATCTCCAGGTTTCACAAATGCATAATTAGTAGTGATGTGAAGTATATTACTATGTCTGATTTGATTTAGTTATAGGCATTTATTCTGTCAAGAATCATGAACGGTCTGACATTATACCTTTCTTGCAACGATGGCCTGCCCCAGTTTCAGGAATGCCAGCACAAGACATAACACTTCCACATCAGAGACATGGGACTTTATGGTGCGGTCCAGCACACAAAGCATCAGCATACAAGGGCTGTCATGGCTGATGTCAGATGGATCTTTACTGAAAGCAGAACATCCAGAGAGATGTTTACTTGTGTTTTATTAACTATGTCGAGGCATTCAAGTTTGTGGATCATAAGAAAACTGAATAACATACAGAAGAATATGACTTTCAGAACACTCATTATGCTCATGCAGAACTTGTACGTGGATCAAGAAGCAGTTGTGTGACTGCAACAAGGTGATATGACATGGCTTAGGATCAAGAAAAAGTGTGCATCATGATTGTATCCCCTCACCATACTTACTCAATCTGTATGCTGAGCACATCATCAGAGAAGCTGGATTATATGGAGAGGAATGTAGCATCAGGATTGGCGGAAGACTTACTGACAAGCTGCAATATGCAGATGACATGGCCTTACTTACTGAGAGTGAGGCGGCTTTGAAGCACTGGTGGATGAAATCAAAGATAGCAGCCTTAACTATGGGTTACAACTCAATATATCAAGAAGACCAAAACCCTCACAACTGGGCCAGTAGGTCACATCATGATAAATGGAGAAAAGGCTGAAGTTATCAAGGATTTTGTCTCACTTGGATCCGCAATGTTCATGACGCACCAGGCAAGAGATCAAAAGATGAGTTGCATTTGGTAAATATGCTGTACAAGATCCCTTTAGAGTGTTGAAAAGCAAGGATACTACTTTGAGGACTAAGGTGGACCTGACCCAAGCCATGGTATTTTCAGTCGCCTCAAATGCATATGAAAGTTGGACATTAACTAAAAAAGACTGAAGAAGAATCCATGTATTCGAATAGCGGTGCTGGAGAAGAATATTGAAGGTACCATGGACAGCTAAAAAGACAAACCAATCTGTCTTGGAAAAAGTACGACTGGAGTGCTCTTTGGCGGCAAGGATGGCAAGACTTCCTCTCTCGTACTTGGGACATGTTGTCGGGAGAGACCATTTCCTAGAGAATGGCATCGTGCTTAGTAAAGTAAAGGGGCAGCGAAAAAGAGGAGGGCCCTATTGACGAGATGGATTGACACACGGGCTCAACAATGGGCTCAAACATAAGAACCATTGTGAGGACGGACAGGCCTGGGGGTGTTATATTCTGTTGTACATCAGGTCAGTATGGGTCGGAACTGATTTGATGGCACCTAACAACAGCATCATCACCCTGCAGGAGCAGCTTCTTATTTGCCTCTATTTCCCCTGTCCCCAAGTCCCATCTGGGAAGTGTGCGTAGTCCAAATGGGTTCCTGAACATTCAAGAAGCTGCAGCTGAGGAAGGGAGTCCTGAGTTTAAGGAGGCTGAGTATTTTACAACTGGCAATAACTCAATGTCTGCCCTTTGCTCCAGAGACAGCGTTATCTTTTCCTTGCAAGACTTCTGCTATACAGATATCCTTGAAAAACATTCCAGAGAAGGGGCACTCGGTATCTGTGTTAGAATTGTATCCTGAAACATGAGGGACCTGTGGAGAAGTAGTTCCCAAAGATACTAAGCATCAGCAAATTAACTCGGACTGCTCTCTCAGGGAAACGTTGCGTGACACTGCCAAGGATCTGACTTTCGACTGGGCCTTTGCTAAGTGTCTCCCAATACCCTCAGCACTATCTATCTCAATGTTAATTCTGAATTTGGAATGCTCAGTATCTTGAGGTGAGCTATCTTATATCCTATGTTAACCTTTACTTTTGATTTAATTAATAACCAATTCTATAACCTTATCCAGTTTGCGACATATTCTAGCCCTGCCTCCTCTCTACCTTCCAAGTCGAATCGTCTATTTTCACTTACTGCACTGGGGCTGTGCTTCTTAACCATCCCTGGGCCTGTGCTTCTGAACACTGAGATCACCTGGGGACTCTAACTGATCTGCATAGCATCCTGGGAGGGGTTCTTAAGAGCTCCCAAGACTAAGAACTGAGGCTAAAAGGGATTCCTCCTAGTTGGTTGGCTACAAACAGGAAACGGAGAGGGTTGTTGAGGCACTAGTTAGATTTGCGTTTGGACCAATTCCAAAATTCCATTGATCTGAGTTTCACCCGGTTCACCCAACTGACACAATTGACAGAAGAGCCCTACTATCACAACACACATCCTTAGTCGGACATGTCCATCATGAGATGTGGCAGCATCAGCTTTCACACAGCGGGCCCTGACCACCACACTTAGATGCAAATACACTGGAGTGTTGGCAACGTGGATAGGAAACACCACATGGAGGTAGTGACGGAGGAGTGAAGGCCAAGAAGACGTCTCACAATGTATCTGGGAGACCTTGGGACAGTGGCTCAAAACAGTATGGCTACGGAGGCAAAGATGCACTGCATCCCAACAAACCTCAGCTCACATCTTCTCAAGGGTGCTGGATTCATGTTAAAAATGAAGACCCAGTTTTCATGGGAAAAAGGAATTGCGAAACGTTATGCCATGCCTTGGAGTTTACGAATGATCGGTCAATCTGCCAAGGAAGATGGGTACCTGAACACAAAGCAGAGAGCCCTGCGTGGGAGTGGCGCAAGAGCAACATAAGCCTCCCAAACCCAACCTATTGCCATCAAGTCAATTCTGACCCATGGAGACCCTGTATGGAATTTCCCAGACCGTACATGAACTGCCAACCTGGCTCAGCACTCCAGTGCCTACCTCACAGCACCATCGAGATACATTCTTTACATACATCCTCTAACCTTCCAGTCAGCCTTCTCTTGGTCTCTACATGTTTGGGTGTGCAAAAAATATATTTTTTAAATCAAATAAAATTAGCATACCAGATGCCTTTGAGAAATACAAGATAGCTTCAAAGACACTGTAAAAAATTCCATTGTATTTTAAGTTCATTTTCCTATGAACTTTTTAACCCCCTTTATACATGACCTAAGGATTTCCCCTAAAGAATGGTTGGGATGGTGGGGCAGGGGGTAGAGATGGGGGAGGGGAAGGCACAGGCTGGGCCAAGGCTGGAGTCACTAGAGCAGGTCCTTAAGTACATCCTCTTCTGGAGACTTCATTCAAAATATTTATGTTCCCCATGTCTTGGAATTCCCTACAGACCCAGAAGCTTCTGCCCCCACCTCAGACACCATATTGACCAAAGAAACAGCTATTGTAACGGGCTCCGGGCTGATGCCATCAGGAACCACAGACATAGTCAGGAACGAGCCCTCTCCAAGCCCATCTCAGACAGCAGCAAAGACTTTGGAACAAACCCTCTCTGCTTTCCACATGACTCCAGGTTAGCACTAACTTTGTATGCTTCAGGAGAGGCCAGTTCCCTAAATGTGCGCCCTCTGAGATTTGGGGTTGAGCTCTAGGCTAAATCCCTGTATAGCACTGTGCCGTTCAACTCAAAGTCAACACTGATCAACCTGCCCTTGGGGTCTCCTTCTCTCCTTGCTCTGATCTCTACTCTCCGTGTTCTACCAGGCCTTAGCCCAGCTGGAATATCTAGAAAATAAGTCCATCTTTTAGGTGTTAACAAGGCCAACCTTCATAGCCCGTGTGGTCAGAATCTATGCTTAGAATCTGTGCAATGCCTGTGGCCTCAAAACAGGGATGAAAAACGCTCTCTACAGGATGGAGGCCCGATCTAGGAAGAGAGGAACGCTCAGTACTGCCAGGGTTGATCTGTTTCAGAACGTTGGCCCAGCATCGAAATGAGTAACTTGGTTTGTTCTTTGCTAAATCAAGTTTAAGGTGGGAGTCCAAGTGACCTGATGGTTTTTTTTGTTTGTTTGTTTGTTTTTTGCTTAGTGGGAAAGGACTGCCTTATGGACAATGGCCCTACTGAGCTGTAATCTTTCTTTCTTTTTTTTTTTTTTTTGGCAGATGCTTCTTTAGTCAATTCCACAGCTGTCACTGGTGATGCCAGGACTGTCACTGGTAAGTAGTTTCATGTGTCTGAGCGTGTTTATGGTCAGGGTGGCCATAGTCCTAGTTTGAAGACAAGGCCTGGGTTAGGCCTGTTGTCCCAACATGACCATTAATAGCATGCCTCTCGACTCTTTAAAGTGTTTCCATTGAGATAATGAGCTATATGCTCCCCCGATTTATTATTCTTTATTTGACATGACTATGCAGCTTAACATTGGCAGTTTCTGTCAGGCTGCTCATGGGGAGCGTAATAATCTAAAGAAAGAAAGAGAGAGAGAGAAAGAAAAAAGGAAAAGAAGAAAAGAAAACCTTATTGTTTAGCTGTTCGCAGTTCCAGGAGTCCATTCCTGCTCACAGATGCTCTATGTAGGGTTTCTGAGCCTATAAATCTTTACGAGAGCAGATAACTTCATCTTTCTCCAGAGTTCAAGGCCTACGCAGCCGTGCCGCCAGTGCGCTTCTCAATAAACGGATTTCATTCTTCCAGAGAGCGTCAATACACAAAGAAGCAAATAAAGGAGAAACGACTGAGACAGTTAAGTGTAGTCTCTGAGCAGTTTAAATGGTTAATAAACTTGAGGCTGGAGGTTTGAGTTCCCCCCAAAAGGCCTGGCAATCTACTTCCGAAATACCAGCCACTGAAAACCTTGGGAGCACTGTTCACACATGTGGACTGAGTAGACTTGGCAGTAATTGTTTCTGGTAGGCAGTTAGATATCTTATTTTTCCTGTCCTACCCCTTGCTTGCATTCAATGATATCTACTCATTGATCTTGGAGATGCCTCTGTATCCGTTCATCGAAACAACCCCATTCTTCTTATAGCAAAATATGTCCTGAAGCCATCACTGATTTAGCCAGCCCCGTTTAGATAGTTGCCTTTTATATTCTTTGACTATGTTGAAAACAGTGGTTAATTGAAAAGTGATCATCTTGCCTATGTGCAAGTATATTTGTTTATATTCCCAAATGTGAAATTTGAGGTCTATTTTTTTCCACTTATATTTTCCTCTTGAAAACTTTGTGACTTAGGTGAAGATGTACAGAGCAGATTACCAATGTCACATTCAACAATTAATATACCTTTTGTTTAACTTATCCACTTCAATCCCTTCAATATGCTATTGTTTATCCTACTTTCTCCCAGTGTTTCCTATGTCCATTCCAACTTCTTTCCTAACCCTTGTCCTTGGCTTAATGTTTCCCTTTCCATTTTAAATGGCTAGTCTACCATGTAAGTGAGTTCATTTCCAGGCCTGAAGGGTGACTGAGGGCTATAGTCTTAGGGGTTCTACCAGTCCCCATCTTGTTCATGATCCTGAGTTCTGTTCCACATTTTCCCTTCACTCGATCCAGGACCTTCTAATGTGAATCCTTTTCAGGACAGTTGGTAGTGATAGCCAGGCACCATCTAGGTCCTATGGTCTCAGGGTTGTAGAGAAAGGTGTTTGTGTAGTCCCTTGGTGCGTGTTTCCATATGTCCTTTGATTTTCATCAGTCCTTTTGCCTGAAGATGGGGAGAAGCCAATAGACAGACTTTCGATGGCTGCTCATAAGCTTTTAAGACTTCAGTAGCTACTCACCGAAGTAGGATGTAGAACTTTGTGGACTGTCTGATGGCTGTTGACCTTGGTGTCCCTCAGGTCCAGTGACTTGTTCCCTCAAGGTGTTTGGTTAAGTCTATGAAGTTTTCTTTATCTTTCCCCCTGTATGCTCCCACCTTTGTGGATATATTTACAGAAAAGGTATATATACAAATGTCCTGTCAAACATATATATATTCATGAGTTTACTCCCACTGTCCATCCCACTCCTGTTCAGTCTGCATGTCTATATAAGCATCTACATGAAGACCACCATATACAGGATTGCATATGTAACAATATTTGCCGATGTTGCCTCCCTTTTCTCCATCATTTCCCCCTAACTGTCCCTTATTATATAGTGCCTTCCCTTTCACCCAAGTTAACACTCATCTACCATCTAGCTTGTGACTCTCCCTCCCTTTTTTTCTCCTACCCTCATTAACCATAAAAAAATGTCTCTCTTGGTATGAAAACCTTTTCTTGACTTTTTACAAGAGTGGTCTTATATAATATTTGTCATTTTGTGATTGACTAATTTCCCTTGACATATCCTCCATGTTCATTCTTGTTGGGAGGTGTTTAACAGACTCAGATTCATCAATATTCTTTCACGTTGCATAGTTCTCCACTGTGCATATGTAGTAAAGATTTTTTATCTGATGGGCATTTAGATGGTTTCCATCTTTTAGCTATTGTGATCAGTGTTATGATAACCATAACTCACTACCGTCAAGTTGAATTCTGGCTCATTGTGACCCTATAAGACAAGTTAGAACAACCCCTGAATATTGTTTATAACTACAAAACTCTTTACATGAGTAGAAAGTCTTATCTTTCTCTCATGGAGCTGCTGGTGGTTTTGAGCTGCAGACCTTGTAGTTAGCAGCCTAACATGTAAGCACTATGCTCCCAAGAGTCCTTATGATAAACATGGTTGTGCTGGACTCATTTTTCAAGGATCTATACCAAGCAGAGGGATTGCTGGGTCATCTGCTATTTCTAGTCCCAATGTTTTAAAGCAGTGCCATGCCACTTTCCACAGTGGTGGCGCCATTTTACAGTCCCACCAGCAATGTGTGAGCATTCTTATGTCTACACACCCTTTGTTGCTTGGGGTTTGTTTTTCTAACTTTGCTATTAATGAAACTATTTTTAACTTTGCTATAAAACTTTGGGTGAGACAGTATTTCATTGTCGTTTTTATTTGCATCTCTGGAATGGTTAATGATCACTAACATTTCTCTGTCTGTTTGTTGGTTGCCTGAAGATCCTTTTTGGGATGTGTTTGTTTGTGTCCTCTGTCCATTTGTTAATTGGATTGCTTGTCTTTTTCTTGTTGAGGTGTTGAGGTTTTCTCTAAATTTTAGAGATCAGTCCTGTGTCTAATATGTCATTGCCAAAAAGTTTTGCCCAGTCGGTGGATTCTTTTTCACTCTTTTGGTGAATTATTTTGAAAAGTGTCTGATTTTTTAGGAGGTCCCACTTATCCAGTTTGTGTGTTTTTCATTATATTTGACAGCATGCTTGTGTCATGTATGAGGGCCCTTAAATTTGCCCCTGTTTTTCCATTGATGACCTTTATAGTTCTAGGTTGTATATTTAGGTCTTTGATCCATCTTAAGTTCTTTATTGTTTATGGTGTGAGATGAGGGTCCTGTTTCATTCTTCAGCAAATAGACCTCCAGTTTTGCCTGCACCACTTGTTAAAGAGACTACTTTGTGTATCAGTTTATTTGGCAAAGATTGGCTGTCTGTAGGTGGATGGGTTTACTCTCTGGGTTCTCAGTGCCTTCTATGCATGTATTGTACCATCCCAGGCTGGTCTGACTATCATTGCTGTGCAGGAGGTTTTGAGATCAAGACTGAAAGGGCCTCCTGCTTTGTTCTTCTTTGCTTCTCTGAGGTCTCTTACTTTGGCATATAAAGTTAGTGATTCGTTTTTCCATCTCTTTTCAAATTTTTTTGGATTATTTTTCTGGATCGAGATTGCTTTATATTTGTAGACACTGTGAGGCGTATTGACATTTTTACAATGTTAAATCTTCCTCTCCATGAGCATGGTATATGCTTCCATTTATTCTACATATCTTTTCAAAGAACTATTTTATTATGGACTAAAGGGAATTTTTCCAGTTCATGACTTTCATTTGAGTAAAATATCAAAAATCTATCCCAACTTGTAAAATAAACATTAACAATTCACCCATGATGGGCACAGATAGCTATCGGTAACTGTAGAGATCCAGAAATTAAAAGGAAAAAAACTTTAAATCTTATATGTTAGATTTTCTTCCTACAGACTTCTTAAACTAAAGAAAATATACACATATTTATAACTAAGTATAAGATAGAATTGAACTGTTGTTAGGTGTCCTCAAGTCAATTCTAAAGCGCTGGGACTGTTCACAGTCCTTACTCTGAGTCCATTGGTGCAGCCACTGTCAATCACCTTGTGGAGGGCCTTCCTCTCTTTTCATTGATCGTTTAAGTGTCATCAAAGTCATTAAAAGGTCAATATTTCTTTATTTTGTGGATTATTAAAGATTTAGTTTGATCAATTGGGTATTTTATTGAGTACCTATGCCACTTATTTATGGGTGTCCAACATCTAACATGTGTTTAGAAAAGACAAAAACAAAAGTCACTACCCAAGTGAATTGATACTCTTCAAAAATTGCAAATTGATACCCTTCCAAAAATTGCCTTTTGAAACAGAGGAAAGTTCTAAGAAGCAAAGCTATGGATAAGAGGTATAAACATAGGTGTGTATATATGTAAATATATTAATGCAAAAAAATAGAGGTATTTGCCTATGTACATATATGTATATGGCAGTACATTGAGGTAGTGGATGGACTTTGGGCCTCTGCTCAAGCCCTCCAGCAACACAAGAACACTTTGTTCTAACAACCTGGCATTCTGTGATGCTCACCCTCCCAGCACAATCGCTGAAAACAAAAATGGGTGTGCAAGCAAATATGGTGAAGAAAGTGGGTGGTGCCTGCCTATCAAAAGATAATAGCATCTGGGGTCTTAAGGGCTTGAAGTTAATTAAACAAGTGGCCATCTAGCAGAGAATCAACAGGCCCATATGGAAGAAGCACACCCGACTGTGCAGTCATGAGGTGTCTAGGATCAGGTAACAGGCATCAGAAGAACCAAAACAAGCAAACCAAAAAACATATTGCTGAGAATGAGGGGGTCAGAGCAGAGACCGAAAACCCATCTATAGACAATGGGACATCCTCTCACAGAAGGGTCACAAGGAAGGGATGAGTCAACCAGGGTACAGTATAGCACACACAATATCCTCTGGTTCTTTGAAGTTTCCTCACCCCCAAATATCATGACCCCAGTCCTGCCTTTCAATTCTGGCTAGATCGGTGCATGTATACTGGTACAGTTAAGAGCTCATGACACATGG